GTTGTTATTTTCAGATCAGTCACATTAAGACATTCACACAAATATACTTTTAAGCTCAGATATCTGAAAAGCTCCCGCTGGTTTTCTGCAGATGAACAGTAACAGTTCTTCCTCAGTGGAACGTGGCACAGTGTTGACTACTGGAAAATATGTGGAGTCCGGAAAATAAAAACAGCCCAGAGTGTGTTACGCTTCATTTCTGAACCAGTAAATAAATAACGAAGTTATCAGAAGTTATTTAAAATCCAATCACTCCAAAAAAAAAAAAAAATAACAGTAAAAAAAGGCACATATTGTGATTAATAAGGAGGTGCAGCAGGAGGGCCGACAGTCTCAGTTTAAATCACAGTGAAGGAGAACCAGTCCGAGCATCAGCGGCTGCTTTTTATTTCTCCTCTTATATATTTAGGACTCGCAGCCTTTTTGTTTTTACGTCCAGGTTCATGCAGTCACTGCTTTGAAATACAGAGCAGTGGAGTATCGGCATGCTGAACAAATACCAAGATTTAAAAATGTCTTTAATATCATTTATGCACGTAACGTAAATAGACTGGTTCCTCCTTCATCACCGTCACACTAACACGGTGGTTAAAACTGGGAGTTAGAAAAAAGACGGAAAAACGCGTCAATACGCATGCTCAGATGTTCGATTTATTTATGTCTAAAATTCTCCAACGTTGCAGTAAATGTGAAATTATATTTGTGAAGCTATTTTATAGGATCTACTCAGTGGTCCAGAAACCTGCACTGCTGTCACAGTTTACTGGTCCTGGATCAACAGGAAAGGCTAAAACTAGTTTAATCTACTGGTGAAAAGCAGATTATTATTATTATTGTTATTATTGTTGTTGTTATTATTATTATTGTTATTATTATTAATAATAATAATAATAATAATAATAATAATAATATTTCAGGAGGTGATTCTGTATTTTTTTCTGATAACAGCGGCAGTATTACACAACACCGTGTGNCTAGTAGCTCTAATGTTGCTGTTGTAGCATAAGCAGGCTACTAGCAGGCTAATAGTTGCTCTTTTAGCAGCTCAGCCTGTTGCTTTACTGTTTATTTCGCTCAGTTGAGTTGATTAAATCAGTAATATGACTCCATGTTACTCAAAAGTAGTTAAAAACTTAGTAAACTCCCTAAAAACTGACCTTAAATGCGCCAAACACAAAGACATCAGAGCAGTATCTGGCCAGCTGAGGCTAAACTCCAGCAGGCCATGCTAATAATGAGCTCCAGCCAGAACCGAACCCAGCAGAGAGTCTCTTTACGGCACGATCAGTCCTATTACCCGTTTTTTGTTTCTCTCTTTGAGCTGCTGCCTCCAAACGCTCCTCACAGTTTCCAGTCTCCATTTCTCCAGTCCAGTCTTTTTCTCTCCCTCCTGTCGTTTGGTGCCGTTTGCTGCTCCTGCTTCTCCAAAACACACCTGCAAAGACGCACAAGAAGAAGCTGGTCAGCCACAGTGGAGAGGACACACACACACACACACACACACACACACACACACACACAGCTTACTGTATGAAATGAGGCCACATTGTCGCCTTCAAGTTCTTTTGAATGAACGAGTAAAACTGACTTTAACTCAGTTTAATAGCTCATACTGGGGTTAATATTTAAGCTGTATGGAGGTATGTGTAGCCAGCTTTATCCCCACAGAGCAGCAGCTGTAACTCATTTCTACACCTTTTTTTTTTTTAGTGCTGTAACATTTAAAATGAACCTATTTAATAAAGGGGCACAGACCTTGTTATTAAAACCAGCTGCTGAGCTCATACTCCTGTATTTGTGTGATAATTCTGTATGTAGCTACTGTTATAAATGCAGGCTGTGATCATCCATAACAGCCTGATATTCCTGGTTAACATGCATGTTAAGTGTTCAGAACACACATGCAGCCTGGTTGGAGGCACTCAGCCATCACCTAGTGAGGCCTGCCGCCAATTAGCACCATTTAATTCAGAACATGCTAAGCAGCATCCAGAGCAGTCCGGTCGTTTCACACAGGCTCAGTTATTCCTACTGTAGTTAACTGCTACTTAGGATAAATCCGAATCTGTCATTTGTCTGTCATATTTACCCTCCAGGCTGCTGCAGGTACCACTAATACTATATGCCAAAGCCACAATCTCGTTAAGACCGAGCTAATGCATGCGGGCTGCGTATATATATAATGATAGTATTACCGTGCTGTGTGTGTCCCAGGCTGGAGGCCATGCCTGTCCCGTCCCGACTGTTAGTGCTCATTAATGATTAAACCACAGTCAGCTCCAACACAATGCTGCTGCTTCCCGTTCCCACAAAGCGGAGAGGAAACGGAGCGTCCTGCCAACAAGAGAGGGAGAGAGAGGGAGAGAGAGGGAGAGAGGGAGAGGTCAAAATGAAAGTTAAAAAAAGAAGGGATCCTCCATCTGTCTGTGGGATCCTGTAGAGAAAGCGAGAGTCCAGGATTAAACTTATTATCTGAGCAGCGTTAGGAGAGAAGACACGGAGGCGCGGAGGCACGGAGGCATGGGACGGGAGGGAGGGCGAAGTAAAAGTAAAAATAGAGTCTTTGTCTCTATTTGTCAGTCGGACTGTCTGCAGTTCGGCCATACAGACAAGTCAGAGCCTGTGCAGGGAAACACGAGAGAGAGAGAGAGAGGGAGAGGGGGAAGCCTTATTTATGGCTGTGGTTATTTTATGACCTCAGCGACACATATTCCGTTTGTAAGTGAGAATGAAAAGCAGGCCGGCTTTAAAAACGCGCCTTATTCCGTCCTGTCCTCCTCCTTTTAACTGTTGTGTTCTTCTTCTTGAGGGAGATCAGGCTGGAATACAGAGGAACAGAGTTTCAGTGGTGATGGTTCCCAAAAAAAC